CTCTCTCAAAAATAAATAAAGATTAAAAAAATTTAAAAAGAAAAGAAAATACACCAGGATAAAGGATGGGAAGTATGTATATTGCACGTAATGAGGATGGTAGGGACAGGCCTCAGGGAGGGTGTGACACTTCAGCAGAGATGCGAGTCAGGTGAGGAGCCTGGAGGAGATTCCCGGGCAGAGGACCAGACTTTGCTGAGGCCCTGATGTAATGTTCCTAGGTAGCTATTAACTAACAAATTGCACTAGAATTTAGCAGCTTAAAACAATCATTTAAATTTTTGCTCACAGTTTTGTGGGTCAAAATTTGGGGAAGGGGCTCAGTTGGGTGATTCGTCTCATGCTACTGCATCAGATGGAGGCTGGCTGGGGTCGGCCATCCCCGATGGCTCCCTCACACACCAGAGCTCAGCTGATTGGTTGACCTCAGCACCTCCACATGGCACGCCCCAGCCTGGGGTCCCGGGTACTTGGGCTGCTCCACAGAGTCTCAGGCTACCTTCTGTTAGTTACCCCATAAGCACTAAGTTTGGCCCAGACTCAAGAGCAGGGCCACACCCCGGCATCACTGGAAGAAGCACCCAAGCAAGGATTTGCTGGCATGTTTTAAAACCACCATGGGGCGCCTGGATGGCTCAGTCAGTTGAGCATCCGACTTCGGCTCAGGTCATGGTCTCGCAGCTGGTGGGTTCAAGCCCCATGTCAGGCTCTGTGCTGACATCTCAGAGCCTGAAGCCTCCTTCAGATTCTGTGTCTCTTCCTCTCTCTGCCCCTCCCATGCTCCTGCTCTGTCTTGCTCTGTCTCTTAATAATAAATAAACATTAAAAAAAAAACTATTTTTTAAACCACCGTGGGCATGTGTGAGCAAGGAGCAGCCAGGAGGCTCTGGGGTAGACAAGAGTGGATGGAGAAATCAGAGGCAGACAGAGGATCCACATGCCCAGAACAAACTGGCCCACATTTGGGTTATTCTAGGCATAGTCTGCAGCCGTGTTGCTAGCCGACTGCAGGTGGCTGGGAGGAGGTGGGGGACCAGGAGAGAGGCTGGTGCTATCTTGGGGGGAGAGGGTGGGCATGACCCAGGCTAGGGTGGTCTCAGGGTCCAGATATATTTTCATGGTGGAGGGCTCAGGGGTCAGGATGGTTCAGCAGAAGATGTCCAGGGTGGCAGAATGGATGGAGAAGGAGGGGAAGCTGGGACCAGGCTTGTGGTCCAAGAGACAGAAGTCCTGCCTGGCTCGGGAAGGCCATCTGGATATGCTGGTGATACGGCAGAGATTGAGGCCCAGTGTGGTCTGGATTGGGGGTGCCAGGCAGGCAGGGCTGAGCTGTGTGGTGCTGGTCGCCAAGAGTTGCTGGGAAGAGAGGCTGGCTAGGACAGAAGCAGCCAGTGGGGGCAAGTGGAGGGGAAACGGAGACAGGCACTTGATGGCTGGAGAGAGACCACCACATCAAGCACCATGAGCCCAAGGGCTGAGGGCCAGGGACCGGCACATACTGAGCAAAACTGGGTTTGGCTTACAGCGCCTGCCTGCCTTTCTTTACTCCTTATTAGTTTAATTTTTTTATTTTTTTGGTTTACCCATGGAACAAAATTCAAAGACACCAGAGTGGGGTGCCTGGGTGGCTCAGTCACTTAAACATCTAACTCTTGATATTGGCTCAGGTCATGAGATCAAGTCCCACATCGGACTCCGAGCTGGGCGTGGAACCTGCTTAAGATTCTCTCTCTCCTCTCCCTCTGCCCCATCCCCCCCTGAACAAAAACCAAAAACACCAGAGTTTTGTTTTAACTGAGGTGAAATTTATGTAACATAAAATTAATCATTTATAAAAGTGTTCCAGTCTATTCATTTAGAGAGAGAGAGAGAGTGCACACAAGTGGGGGACGGGCAGGGAGAAGGAGAGACAGAATCCCAAGCAGGCTCCAAGCCATTAGCGCAGAGCCCGATGCGGGGCTCCAATTCACGGACTGTGAGATCATGACCTGGGCCAAGATCAAGAGTCGGACACTCAACCAACTGTGCCACCCAGGCACCTCTAAAATTAATCATTTTAAAGTGTACGATTCAGTGGCATTTGGTACACTGACAATTTGAAAGTGCGGAAGAGTTTTATGGTGAAAAGTCTCCTTCCCTCCGCAGTTCTTTGTATTTCTTTCAGAGACAGTTCGTGCACATTACTCTTTGTACTACAAAGTACTATATACTTTCTGTACTAGGTTCGTTGCCCCGTTCCTTGTATCAAAAGATACAGGCAACAATTAGAAAAATAACAATATCTTATCCATGCTTATTCTGTAACAAGCACTAAAACCTTCACGTATGTTCTCATCTAATCATCCTCAGACACATCCCATGAGGTAGGTACTATTAGTGCTTTCATTTTACAAATGAGGAAACTGCAGCACAGAAAGCCTAAGTAACTTATCCAAGGACGCACAGCTAGTGAGTAGTGTAGCCAGGGTTCGAACCTACCAGTTGGCCATGTGTAACATCTGCTGAGATCCTCATTCTTTTAACCAGCTTGCATGATTTTTTTTAAAAAATTAAGCTCTGTATTTGGGGATTCTTGTAGGTTTCTCTACTGTAAGAAACAATAGATCCCATGTGCCAGGTTCTCCCACTGGTAACATCTTGCAACACTGCAATATCACAACCAGGATATTGACATTGATACAATGCATCCATCTTGTCCAGTACAATGTTTAAAACCATTAAAAAAATTTTTTTAATGTTTATTTATTTTTGAGAGAGAGAGAGAGCTAGAGTGCTAGCAGGGGAGAGGCAGAGAGAGAGAGGGAGACACAGAATCTGAAGGAGACTCCAGGTTCTGAGCTGTCAGCACAGAGCCCAACACGGGGCTCAAACTCACGAACCTCGAGATCATGACCTGAGCCGAAGTTGGACGCTTAACTGACTGAGATGCCCAAGAGCCCCTAAAACCATTTCTTAATTGATTGTAAACATTTAAAAATCAGAGGATTCTACAAAAACTGAGTTCTGGCTTATCTTGACCCACCAGAAGATGAGGTCTCCCAGGGAAACAAAACCTAAGAGGAGGCTTGTGCACAGCTACTTTGTTGAGGTACTGTCTTGTTCAGGAGGCAGGGAGGGGAGCGGGGAGGGGGACGGGCAAGGAAAGCAACCAGCCGGGGCACCATACCCCATGGGGGCAACTCAGCACAGCCCTGCTGGGACTGTGCACAGACTCTGCAGATCGTATAGAGCACTCCCCTGAGTTGCCACCTGCCTCCCTCCTCCACCCTGCTGAGGTGCAAGGGACCTGGGGCATTTATCCACCAACCTCCCTCCATCTGTTGCTGGCTGAGGGCTGCTCCTGGGACAGGTGATGACAGGGCTGTCAGCTCCCCAGCCCTCCCAGCCTGCCTCTGAAGGGGGAGAGCAGGTGCTGGTTCACCAGCAGCAGCCCTGGAACAGAGAGATGCAGGTGCCGGCCATTGGCAGTCAAGGCCAGACATGCCTAGACACACTGCAGGCACAGCTGGGTAGGGGGCAGTGTCTGTAGCGAGGATGTTCGTTCCCAGGGCCTAGAATAGTGCCTGACTAGGAAGGTGCTCAATCATGTTTGAAAGATCAAGTGAATGGATAAATGACAAAAAGCAAAGCTGAGCGACTTTCTTCTCGCTCTTCTTTCGGAGGAGCGAGATGCCGTAGACCCCAGGAACAGCACCGTCACTGTGGCAGGGGGCCTGCAAGAGTGACTGGGAGGGAGGCTAGAGCCAGAGCTCTGGGTTCTGAGGGCTCAGATCCTAGCACCTCCGGTGACTCACCGTGTGACTAACCCAGTTCCCACCACCTCTCTCGACCTCAGTTTTCACACCTGTAAAATGGGACAGTGAACTCCACAGGACCGATGAGGGGACAAAGGGAACTGGGTCATGTGATGTGTTCAGAAGCGTAAGCACTAGGAAGATGTTTGTTGTTCCTTTCACCTTGCCCCGCGCAGGTACTGCACTGGGTGCTTACACAACCCATTCGTGCCTCCTACAGCCCAGTGATTAATTACCACCCACTTGCGTAGATTGGGACAGGGCCCAAGGCCACAGGGCTGGTCAGGAGCTGAGCTGGGTTCACGCCCAGATGGGTTGCTTTCCTAGGACCACCAGGATTCTATTGCCGTCGCCTCCTGGCTGTGTGAGTGCCACCTGGGCCTCAGTTTCCCCATCTGTAGCATAAGGCTAATAAGGAGCACTTCTTTGGTAAGTTGTTAATGGAATCGAGGATGAGAAGCATCTCCATGTGGGCCCTTTACAGAGAGCTCTGGGAAGGGGATGAAGCAGCATGTGAGAATTGAGGAGGGTACAGCTGCTGCTGGGTGGGCTTCTGCCGTGCCCCCTGCACGAGTGGCAGGGAGGAGGGGTACAAGGCGCGCTGCCTGCTTTCTGCACAGACCCCGCGTTCTGTGCCAGCCTCAGTATCACATGCTCCCCATCACCAAGACACAAATCCCAGCATCGCCTGCCTGGTGTAAGGCTGCCGAAGCGAACCCCCGCATTAGAGCCCCAGCAGCCCTCCAAAGCCGCGTCCTGGGAAACACAACCCCTCAAGGCCAACACTTCGCTAACAGGACAAACAAACCAATACGTAGCAATCTCACCTGCGTGAAGCCTGCCTCTACCCAGAACACCAGCCCCACCTCGGGTCAACACTGCAGGCAGCCAGGCGAGGGGCCAATGACCCAATGACCCACACATGGCTCCCTCTGCAGGCCCTGGGCCCAATGAGGGGCTGGAGGAGGTGGCCTGGAGCAGGAGGTCCCCGCCCAGTTGGGCCATGACTGCCCAGTCTCTCCCTGGCCTCCCCACAGAGCTGGCCTCCGTCTCAGTCTCAGCCAAACATGTCCAGCCTCCAGGCGCTATGCTCTGGCCTGCCACTGCGGCCCCTCCCGGAAAACCGGGGACGCTGGGCTGGGGTGCCCCACGCACCCGTCAGGACCCCCGGCCTTAGCCCTGCGGAGGAGCAGGTAAGAAGTTGGGCGCCATTCCTGCTGGGCCCTTTGCCCTCTGGGTGTCCTTGAGATGGTCCGGGTGGGCATTTTCTGTTCCTGCTTCTCCGCAGGAGCTGCAGCTTCTCAACTCAGCCTCCCACCCCTCACCGCCAAGCCTCCCCGAGCGGGTGTCCAGGAGAGCCCAGAGGGGGTGTCCAAGAGCACCCAGAGGGGGTGTCGGTGGGACAGGGGGGTCCAATGTGTTTGCTCTGCACTCTTCACGCCTACTGTAGTTCGTTCTCTCCCCAACGTTCATCCTTGGGTGCAAGATTAGGGTACCCATTTGCAGATGGGGATCCTGAGGCTCAAGGTCCCCCAGCCAGGAGGCAGTGGAGTTGTGGCTGCTTCCAGTCAGAGGAGTGAAGCTGGTGTAAACAAAGTGTAGCCTTCTTTCTTTTTTACTTCTTAAAATGTTCTTAATGTATTTTTGAGAGAGTGAGAGACAGAGGGTGCGTGGAGAGGGGAGCAGAGAGAGAGGAAGACACAGAATCCCAAGCAGGCTCCAGGCTCAGAGCTGTCAGCACAGAGCCGGACGCCGGGCTTGAACTCACCAAACTGTGAGATCATGACCTAAGCACAGGTGGGTTGCTCACCCAACTGGGCCATCCAAGCGCCCCCAAAGTGTACCCTTCCACCCCTGACACGCACATGACTTTGAAGTTCTACAACGTAGCAGGTCAGCTCTTGTTTTCGCTTCTGTGTCCCTCCCCCCAGTCTTGTAGTGAGTGTGCAGCCAGCAAGGCTAGAACCCTAGCGGGGGCGGGATGGTGCTGCTGAAAGCATTGCCGAGGTGTCCCTGACCATAACCCACAGCCTGGAGAATCTGGAGCCAGCCCAGGACTGGGGGCGCTCGAGCCTGCACCCCAGGCAGCTCCGACCGTCCAGGAGCGCACTTGTCTCCCTCGTAAACTGGGGATGAAAATGACACCACGGAGCAGTGGAGGAGACCAGAGGAAATAAAGAAGGTGGCACAATGATATAAAGTATCCTCCTTTTTCTTTACTCAGAATTACTTGAGAAATTCAGGAACAGTGCAGGGGAAAGTAAAAAAAATACAAATAGGCACCAACATTAAAAAAGGAATCACACAACCCCACCCTAAGTGAAGACTGCCGCCCTTCAGTGGCTGCCCCCTAAACTTTCTGCGGAGGCAGCTCACAAAGCACGGATGGGGCGCTGGGGGGCGCTGGGGCGGACCCGGCAGAGCTAGGGCAGGAGAAGGGTGGGGGAAGGGTGCTGGGGGTAAGGGGTGTTGCGAGGGGGGCCCTGGGGGACGCTGGGCGGAGCTGGGGCACCACTGGACAGTGCAGGCACAGGGGAAGTGTGGGGCCAGGCCGCTGGAGGGCGCTGGAGAGCGCTGGGGTGGGACTGGACAGCTCCGGTGCAGGGGCAGTGGGGGGCCTGGGCCCTGGGGGCCTGGCTCCGCCTCCTCTTCCATGGTGCTTATCTCGCCCAGCTTAACTACGTCAAAATAGTCATTCAAGCTTCCTCCCCTTGGGTCACCTCCCTGCTGGGCGCCAAGGGCTCAATCTTTGACCGTGAGGGCATGGAGGGCCCTGTCACCTGCCCATCTCAGGTGACACCTTTATAGCTGCGTGATGGTGTCCTGTGCTGGGAGGGGGGCACTCGGGAGCTGAGGAGCTGGGCCACCTCAGCCTTGCCCTGTGTAGGTCGCCGTTTGCTTGCAGGTCCGGGAGTTGGGGCTGTTGAAAGCCGCTATATCTTCCCTCAGGGTGCCAGGGTCAGCCAGCCTTAGGTTGGTGAGATAGTAAGAAGGACGGATGTTGACCTCTACCCTGACCCTCCCTTCCTTCGACCCCAGCTCCTGACAAAGAGCTCTTAAATTCCTTGGAATTTCCTGGGTGATAGGGAAATTCTTTTGTTCTAAGGAAGCCACTCTAGATAGGGGCTGGTGTCCAGAAAGACTGTTCCAAGATAAGAAGCTTCGAACTTTCTCCCCTCCCCCCCCCATTCCCTAGAGAGGGGAGAACGGCTGGAAATTGAGTTAATCATCCATCATGCTTACATGCTGAAACCTCTATAAAAATCCCATAACTCAGGGTTCCGAGAGCTGGTTGCGGGGCACATTGAGGTGCTGGGCCCACCCCACATCTTGCCTTGTGTACCTTCATCTGGTTGTTCATCCGGACCCTTGATCATATGCTTTATTGTATAATAAACCAGTAGACACGTTTCTCTGAGTTCTGCGAGCTGCTCAGCAAATTACTGAACCCAAGGAGGGAAGCGGTGGGAACCCCGGTACTTAGCGGGTTGGTCCCCAGTACAGGTGAAAGCCTGGGGGTGTGTGATGGCATCTGAGGTGGGAGGGGCAGTCTTGTGGGACTGAGCCCTTAACCTTCGGGGTCTCAGCTGACTCAGGCAGATGATGTTGGAACAGAATGACGCTCGGGCCACCCAGCTGGTGTGGAGAATTGGTCGGGGGGGGACCCCCCAAACCAGTCACAGAAGCGTCCTGTGTGCGAACACTCGCCTCAGAGGAGAAACACAAGCGGTTTCTCCCAGGCAGTCCGAACCCAGCAACCTCCAAATCCGCCAGCAGCTCGCTTTCTGCTTTTCCTTCAGCTTGCTTTCTATTCTTTTTGTTTAGATTTAAATGTGTCTCTTTGATTTTTGACATAAACTTTCCAGATAATTGTATAAGATGAGGAGCTCAAGTCTTATAAAAGTGTAAGTTCCCTACTTCTCCTGATAGGCCATTGACAAAAAATTATGTTTATTTTTGAGAGACAGAGCGTGAGTGGGGGAGGGGCAGA